TGAGCTTCTTCAGGCGCGTGCGTGATCTATATTTCGCTGCAACTGATATAACATCGAAACTGCGCGGCTTTTGCCTTCTTCAAAACAATTATGAGAGCAAGTGAAGCAGATTGCATGAATGTAGCGTCAAATGAGAAGAATATGCAAACTTATACGCTGGCGGCAACATGTCTTCACGATATCATGGCGCTCCCAGACATGGTCCAAATGTCGCGGATCATCAAATGTCGTCGACTCAACCCATGTCGGTGGCGACTGTACGTGTGCCTTTCCGTTCTCAAGCTGTATAATACCAACTGTAAGACAGGCTCTGCTGAATGCGACGATTATCCTCATTGCCTTGAGCTTCTTCAGGCGCGTGCGTGATCTATATTTCGCTGCAACTGATATAACATCGAAACTGCGCGGCTTTTGCCTTCTTCAAAACAATTATGAGAGCAAGTGAAGCAGATTGCATGAATGTAGCGTCAAATGAGAAGAATATGCAAACTTATACGCTGGCGGCAACATGTCTTCACGATATCATGGCGCTCCCAGACATGGTCCAAATGTCGCGGATCATCAAATGTCGTCGACTCAACCCATGTCGGTGGCGACTGTACGTGTGCCTTTCCGTTCTCAAGCTGTATAATACCAACTGTAAGACAGGCTCTGCTGAATGCGACGATTATCCTCATTGCCTTGAGCTTCTTCAGGCGCGTGCGTGATCTATATTTCGCTGCAACTGATATAACATCGAAACTGCGCGGCTTTTGCCTTCTTCAAAACAATTATGAGAGCAAGTGAAGCAGATTGCATGAATGTAGCGTCAAATGAGAAGAATATGCAAACTTATACGCTGGCGGCAACATGTCTTCACGATATCATGGCGCTCCCAGACATGGTCCAAATGTCGCGGATCATCAAATGTCGTCGACTCAACCCATGTCGGTGGCGACTGTACGTGTGCCTTTCCGTTCTCAAGCTGTATAATACCAACTGTAAGACAGGCTCTGCTGAATGCGACGATTATCCTCATTGCCTTGAGCTTCTTCAGGCGCGTGCGTGATCTATATTTTGCTGCAACTGATATAACATCGAAACTGCGCGGCTTTTGCCTTCTTCAAAACAATTATGAGAGCAAGTGAAGCAGATTGCATGAATGTAGCGTCAAATGAGAAGAATATGCAAACTTATACGCTGGCGGCAACATGTCTTCACGATATCATGGCGCTCCCAGACATGGTCCAAATGTCGCGGATCATCAAATGTCGTCGACTCAACCCATGTCGGTGGCGACTGTACGTGTGCCTTTCCGTTCTCAAGCTGTATAATACCAACTGTAAGACAGGCTCTGCTGAATGCGACGATTATCCTCATTGCCTTGAGCTTCTTCAGGCGCGTGCGTGATCTATATTTTGCTGCAACTGATATAACATCGAAACTGCGCGGCTTTTGCCTTCTTCAAAACAATTATGAGAGCAAGTGAAGCAGATTGCATGAATGTAGCGTCAAATGAGAAGAATATGCAAACTTATACGCTGGCGGCAACATGTCTTCACGATATCATGGCGCTCTCAGACATGGTCCAAATGTCGCGGATCATCAAATGTCGTCGACTCAACCCATGTCGGTGGCGACTGTACGTGTGCCTTTCCGTTCTCAAGCTGTATAATACCAACTGTAAGACAGGCTCTGCTGAATGCGACGATTATCCTCATTGCCTTGAGCTTCTTCAGGCGCGTGCGTGATCTATATTTCGCTGCAACTGATATAACATCGAAACTGCGCGGCTTTTGCCTTCTTCAAAACAATTATGAGAGCAAGTGAAGCAGATTGCATGAATGTAGCGTCAAATGAGAAGAATATGCAAACTTATACGCTGGCGGCAACATGTCTTCACGATATCATGGCGCTCTCAGACATGGTCCAAATGTCGCGGATCATCAAATGTCGTCGACTCAACCCATGTCGGTGGCGACTGTACGTGTGCCTTTCCGTTCTCAAGCTGTATAATACCAACTGTAAGACAGGCTCTGCTGAATGCGACGATTATCCTCATTGCCTTGAGCTTCTTCAGGCGCGTGCGTGATCTATATTTTGCTGCAACTGATATAACATCGAAACTGCGCGGCTTTTGCCTTCTTCAAAACAATTATGAGAGCAAGTGAAGCAGATTGCATGAATGTAGCGTCAAATGAGAAGAATATGCAAACTTATACGCTGGCGGCAACATGTCTTCACGATATCATGGCGCTCCCAGACATGGTCTAAAAGTCGCGGATCATCAAATGTCGTCGACTCAACCCATGTCGGTGGCGACTGTACGTGTGCCTTTCCGTTCTCAAGCTGTATAATACCAACTGTAAGACAGGCTCTGCTGAATGCGACGATTATCCTCATTGCCTTGAGCTTCTTCAGGCGCGTGCGTGATCTATATTTTGCTGCAACTGATATAACATCGAAACTGCGCGGCTTTTGCCTTCTTCAAAACAATTATGAGAGCAAGTGAAGCAGATTGCATGAATGTAGCGTCAAATGAGAAGAATATGCAAACTTATACGCTGGCGGCAACATGTCTTCACGATATCATGGCGCTCCCAGACATGGTCTAAAAGTCGCGGATCATCAAATGTCGTCGACTCAACCCATGTCGGTGGCGACTGTACGTGTGCCTTTCCGTTCTCAAGCTGTATAATACCAACTGTAAGACAGGCTCTGCTGAATGCGACGATTATCCTCATTGCCTTGAGCTTCTTCAGGCGCGTGCGTGATCTATATTTCGCTGCAACTGATATAACATCGAAACTGCGCGGCTTTTGCCTTCTTCAAAAACAATTATGAGAGCAAGTGAAGCAGATTGCATGACATGACTACATTATTGTAAAAAGCGGATGAAATCGGAATTGAGTCAAGTCCACTGAAGAGTGGTCTATTTGGGTATAATGCCATTGCTGTCGATGAGGATGAACTTATGTCATACGGTGCTTTACTGTTACGCCCCGCCCGGTGGAACTTTATGCCTCCTGTCATTATAGATCCACGTTTCCGTTAAGTCTGCCCGGTCCTTCACGATCTCAATGTGTGCCAGAACCGATCCTTGTCAGCTTCATTCGCAGCAAAGCAATTCATTGCCCAAAATGACTTTAGACTATTTTAGCGGAGATGATAATTTTGCGCTCGAGCGTCTCGTGCGTGAGATACTTGTGGCTGTTAACCAATTAAGGTATTGTGGTAAATAGAAGGGATAAGCCACAGTGAGTATATTGAACATTTGCAGCTTGTTCGGTTTACCTTCCTTTAGGCTGTCCATCCGTTATTCTGAAACCTTGATTGGAGTAGTACAACCAAAACGACTGTATGTGATTTATAAGTCAATTTCAATAGTAACCACCCATTAGTGTGAGCGGTGCAACTTCAACAACTACGTTCTTAATTTCGTCCATGTGTTTGTCGACAGCAGTGGCTCCCTCGTATTGTTGTTGCTGTTTTCGTCAAAGATTGTGTACGTAGATGACGCGTATCACATAATGAAGAGGACTGGCGTTCCTTTGACGACCGGACATTCATCATGTATCCACAAGAGATGGGAAGTGAACACCGATCATGGTAAAATGTACGCGAATACGAAGTAATCAAATTGATATAGCTGTATTGTTTCCAAAAGCTTATCACATGGTCTGTTGTGGCAACAAGCATTAAATTGAGTGCACATTGTCGTCTTCCATGCCACGAACCGAGCGAAGATAGGATTACGAAGCGGGCGACTATTGGATCACGAAACTTAATGATGTCACAGAGCATGGTTACAAATCCATGTTGCTATGTTGAGCCACAATGTTAGTCTAATGCTTCATGCGTCGGTTTGCACAACGTCCGTACATATCGTATCGGAGAGACTAGAGGTACGACTTGGAAGCTAAAGACGAAGCTATCACGATGTAGAAAGACTTGCTTTTCTATGACCAACGATCGCTCACATCAGTGCTGGCAACCATTTTTTGGTAAGTTCGACACGTGACAGCGAAGTATGTCCAAAAGTAGACACGTAGAAGTGTTACTCCATCGACGATCGCCACGTGAAGCTAGGCCTCTTAAAGTTGTACACAATGTGTCTTAGCTTTATTTAAAGTCACTCAATCTCACGTTGTGTGCACTGCACAAATGCTGGTCGAATGATGCAAGATGGCGAGCTGTAAACTTGTTTGAGGTACCTGAAAATATCTTAACAAACTTATAAACATTGTTGTTTGATGCGCCGGTGTTCAAGAAACTACAACAGTTGTTTAGACCACTAGCAATAATACGTCCGGCTTGTAAAGGCTATTAGTGCTTGTAAAAGCGGATAGACCACTGCGCACCATCGATTTTCAACGTCATCGGTCTCTAATGGCGAATTGAATCGTTGTAAAGTCGCCAGATATATTGTCCTGACAAGTCAATGGTGATCTATGCAGTGCACACATACTCAGATTTAATGTTTTACGATTGTCGAGAGGAGAAATATACGTAAGGACGAGGTTTGATGCATTGCTGTAAAATGAGTTCTTTCTGAACAACCTAGTGAAGAAAACTACATTTGACGAGCTACTGCAGCGAAACTTACGCAATCTGAGACGTAAGCTATAAGGTGACAGATGCAGTTGTCATAAGGCAAAGTGATTGCTTACCAAAGAAAAAAATGGACCCCAACAAGAAATTCCAGTCAAAAGCTCTTGGATCTTTTGGTAAGGGCTCTGATCAGCATTTGTTTCACTGTATTTCTGAGTTATTACGGTGTTAACGTCAGGTAATAAGCGACTCATTGAAAAGGTGTTGCAACTTGATCCTTCAAAGGCGATGCCCAACATGGTAGCGTCGTCACAATCTCAGTAAGAGATGAGGTTCCAGCGATGGATTTATCAGGAAGAGTGGTCTTTTTTAGTGAACTGGCTATTATACCAGAAAGCTACATACTGATTTCAAACAGGCTCTAGACACTGGATTTGTCTGATTCAATCTCAGTCGATCTCGCTGTTGCCATGGCGTTACCAACTACGTCGACCAAAATACCACCGTACTGGACGCCTCCAGACCAATGTATTATGGAGTATTTGCTGCTGGATCAGTCGGACGTTGAGGAGCTAGAAAGTATGAATTTGAGACGGACTGAGGAACTCAATAGAATAAGGACAGTAGACACGAAACAACAGCAAAAGCCTACGAAGCAAAGCGGCGACAATTTGTTGGAAGAACTTGATAGTGGCCAGGCTAAACAGATAGAAGAGGAACGACGAGCTCGGCATCGAGCCGTGCAGCGTCGCTTTATCCAGCGCAGGAAGGTCGAGTTGGAACGGACGAAAGAATTGGCACAGACGTTAGAAAAGCGATATTCTTGTCTGAAAATTGCAGCAGAAGAGAGAGACCTGAAGGCCGAGAATCGAGAATTGCAAGCTCGTGTGGATGCTGCAGTGCCTTCTGTGCCCAGAGTGCCTCAAGTGGACCATATCCAGCTATTGATGCAGGTAAGTGGAAGACTATGGTATGGAATGTAAAAGACTGAAGAAGTTAACGTGTTGATTTGACAGAATCAGCTGGAGCTGGTGAAAGAGTTTTACGAACCACTCACGCCACAAGAGCTGGAAAGTACCCAACTGAAAGTACAAACGGAATACGAGCTCTCACGTCGAGATGGCACGTATCAGACTTCGGGTGCCTTGGTCATGGGATGGAGCGATTTCCGTAAGGTGGAGGAATCGTCTGTCAAGTTTGTGCTGTCGAAAAAATTCCCCAATGTACAGGCATTGCATCTGATGAACTTCACGTGGGATACCTTGTCTTTGCCTGCAACCTACGCGACGTTCTTCAGTCCTGCATTCCCGATCAAGGTTAGTGGTATTTGAATACTATCAAGTATCGAGTGGGTTTTTCCACCTTTACACTTGCTGACGTGATGATGCCAATGATAGATTCAAGTCATGCAGCAGTTTGGCCGCAACGCAGTCGTTATTCATCGTGTGCTATTTAATCCACACACTCAGAGCTCGTCCAATTCGTTAGAACTGCTATGGCGTGTCCGACTTGGCGATGAATACGTCATTTTTGACTCGGCGCTTCAGCACAATGCGGTCCAGCAATGCCTTGGTGCGTCTTACAAATGGACGCAAATGACGACGTCTTTAGGTTTTACCCCATTGGATGTCAACAAAGTCAATGGCTGCATCTTTCGTCATGGTGGTTGGCTACGTGCTTCAGTCACAAATGCTGACTATTGGCTCATGGAGATGTTTTTCATGGCGTTACGCTATGAAAGCGCCATGGTAGCGCCAGTTTTTGCGCTTTCATACGACGAATGATGCTGAATTGCGATTGAAAAGCGACTGCAACGGCCTACAAGCAGCAGCAGGAGCATCATCATCATTGCTACTGCTTCCAATTTAATAACAAAACAACTACGTCAGTTAAAAGAGGTAATGTCTAGAAGCATGAAATGGCCATTCATTCTTTTAAGGCGTGATAATGATGTCAATCATTTCGTAAATGTTTCTTAAAGCATTAAGGACGATGTTTTGCGAAGTGATTGACCGAGCTACTGCTACAAATTAAGCTCTACAGTCGTTATATTATAATATGCAGTTTCATAGTGCCATGACCTCATAATAACAACTAGTTGATACGGCTTCAATTAATGGCTTCGTAAGCTAAAGTCTTAAACAAATGTAAATATTAGGAATTTGGCTCTTAATTATTATGATAAAATTAGTTGGAGTGAGTAATTATGGTTTTGATAAATCTTGCTAAATCATATCATTATTTTTGCAGTAAGAGCGATGTTTTAAAATTAAATATCATATTTTGCCCAACTTTTGGCCTGGGTTTTTTATTATTATTTCATTGGGAGATAAATATTTCAAAAAATCGATCTATTGTGTCCGGTCTATTTCAGTAGTTTTGATACTGATGGTATGATAAGAAAATATCGAGCTTTAGCTGCCAGCCATCAAATATGTACGTACTGACATGCCAGCCTTACGTTATCACAACGGTGCTATATTTCGTACCAATTGCTCAACAAAACTCACAATGACTCTTCGCCAACCATAGTGCTACACCATGTTAATAATAAATCGTTAGTATTTTTACTACAAACGGATAGAATTACGATAGGGTTGAGGTATCGAAAGCGCCCTGTCTCACATCATCATTTGTCATAAAAAGATCATCTACGTCATTCCTCTCCATATGTTTCTAATTCTAATTCTCGCTATCTCATTTTCGTATTCGACTCTTATTAAGTATGGAAACAGATGCCTTGCCACTAGAACGTGGAAATGTCGATATGACACTCATGTTATCCGATCCATCATCTCCTTCACGTCCTCATGTCACTTCGGCTGAATCATTGTCGTATAGTGCATTAAATCAAAATCAACAGTTTATACGACGTGTCTGTAGTGTGCAAGATGCTGCTAAGTACGGATTATTACGCACTATTCAACGTCGAAATCGCAGTTATTCCGGGAAATACGGTGCAATTAATGGACCTATTTCGACGTCCAATAGTACCCAACTCACGTTTTCTACCCCCCAATGGACCATTTCTTGGACCTGCGAAACATAATATGCACCAATTTAAAGCACTAGTGCTTGAAATTATAGTCAATGGAACATCTGGAATCATTGCATTTCTATTATCGTCAACATTAGCTGTTTCCTGTGCCAGTGTTTTAGTAGGACATGGGACGCCATTATCATCTGTTATTGCTCGATTTATTGATATGAATTTACTTGGAACAGCAATTTTATCCATTGTATTAGCATGGCAAAGTCAAGCTCCATATACTTTAGGCTCGATTGATGTGTTTGTTGCTCCCGTGATGGCAGAAATGGCAGATAAAATATCAAGACATTTACATGGAAATCTGGATCATGTGGTATCAACAACAGTGATGATGGTTGCAATTACATCCATGGTCTTAGGACTGGTGTTTTTTATCATGGGACTCTTTCGAGTCACTTCGATTGCAAATTATATGCCGTATCCTGTTATTGCTGGGTTTTTGTCAGGCATTGGAGCGCAATTGATGAAAAATGGCATTTATATGGCATCAAGTAAAGCTTTAACAGGTGCATTTTTTACTTTGGAAGTACAAGTACTCGTTCTACCAGCTGTAGTCTTTGCTGCCTTGGCACGACTTGGACAATACTTTAAAGTTCCAGTAGCTTTTTCATTTCCGTGTCTACTTGTGCTGTCACTCGTGGGGTTTCAACTAATTTCTTCAATGTATGGAGCGACCATGGAAGAGTTAGGTAAGGCCGGATGGGTATTTGCGTGGGATCATGTTGTGGTATCACAAACGCCAATGTGGTTACCATGGGCCGAGATTGACTTTAAACAAGTACATTGGCATACGCTGACAAACGAGTGTATGGAATTTATGGTGTCTCTTATCATTCTTGGTGCATTGAAGTATAGTGTAGCCACAACTTCGCTCTCGACGCTATTTGGGCGGGATATCTCGCCGGACAATGAAATGCGTGTCATTGGGTTAGCTAACATGGCTAGCGGTTTGTTCGGGTGCTGTGGTGGGTGTCACTACCTTTCAGCAATGGGTATCATGAAGCAGTTTGAGGCCCACGAGAAAGTTCCAGCATTGGTTTGCGCTTTTCTCGTTATATCTCTGTGGATGGCCGGCATTCGATTGCTGCAGTTTGTGCCCAAATTTATTTTCGGTGGGCTTCTGTTAAGTGTCGGACTGCACTTCTTGGAAGCATACTTGGTGACGCCATTCCATTTCCTTAAGCCTATTGAGAAAGCTACTGTTGTGCTTATTACTTCAAGCTTTCTCGCTATTGGTATGCTGGAGAGTGTAGCGATGGGCATCATGATCTCAATGATTGAGCTTATTTGGCGCATCCACGCTGTGGGGTGTGTTCACCATGAGACGACAGGAGCGTTATCTCGCAGTGCAGTGGACCGCACGCCAGAGCAGACTGCCTATCTCGACAGTGAAGGAAGCGCCATATTTGTGCTTCGACTGCAAGGATATCTATTTTTCGGCACTTCTGTAAATATACTGGAGAGAATGGAGACTCGTGTGCATTCACTAGATTTTCCCACGCTGAAGTTTGTCATTATTGATTTTGGGCTTGTTCCTAGCTTTGATGCGACCGCGCTGTTAAACTTCCGCAAGACCTCTACGCTTGCCGATTTGTACATGTTTGACATTTACTTTTGCGGACTTAGGCCAGAAATTGAACTCGCACTTCGCCAAAATCACTACTCGCAGCGCGTCCATCTACTCAGCAGTGATGTAGATATTGCACTTGAAATTTGTGAAAATGAGTTGGTTCCCGATGAATTGTTTTCAGCTCCAGAAACTCCAAAGTCAGGCAAGTCACTAACCGAATGGAAGCGCATGAGCCAACTGGAACTTTGGGAACGCTTCATGGCTGCATCTATGGAACATGATGGGACAGCAAGTTATCAGAAATTACTTCCGCTAGCTGCTTATCTAGATATTGTTGTGGTTCCCAATGGTACTCAACTTGTGCCTGAACGTCTGCGCGATGACACGTACTTCATTTGCCAAGGCTACATGAATTTTGTCATGGATTCCGAATTCTCGAATGCGCACAATATCCCCGGCGTCCGTCTCTCCGAAGCATGTGATGACGATGGAGTTGGCGGGGGCTACAATGAAACGACCAAGAATGATGATGAGTCAAATGAACCCATCAGAGTAACTACCCGACGCAAGCTGTCGCTCGTGGTACCGGAGGAATCGCAATGGACACCATTCACGACAGCGAAATCACGGCTCCTGAAGATTGGACCGGGCTCTGTCATCATTCCTAATGTTGCAGGAATGGACCCCGAGTACAAATACTTTGCCACGTCGGACTGCGTGGTGCTTCGTTTACGTGCTGTAGCAATGGAAACGCTAGAGGCGCACGCACCTCACACGGCGATAGCTGTGTTGAAGCTCATCAATGTGCGATTGGCCACCCGGTTTCGCCACTCGAGCAAGCGCGTCTCGCAGATGTCTTCTCTGCTTTACAAGTAGATTGGGCTGCAAGACGACTTCGTTAGACCTGCCACACTGTCATAGCATCACTGCAACATTTATTGTATCAAAATACAACAGCTTTATCTTCATTATGCGACTATTACTCAATTAGCCTTTAGTCTTCGTTACTGTTCGCGAAACCGAATCGTCTTCATCTGCGTGAAGCAAGCAACTGGGCCCCGCAAAAGGAACGAAGTCTGTTTTGTGCTGTACAATGACTGTCACGACATCTCTTGATTGGCGGCGCGTGATGTGCGCGGCCAATCGAGCCCTCCTCTTTTCTTGTCTCAATTTATCTCCATCATCTGAGACTTTTTACTCCACGTATTCAGCAAGAAACCGCTTTGTAAGCTCGCTAATCTCCTCTTGAGCGAGCAAAACCCCGTCGTGGCCGTGAACCGACGACAGCGTCGCAAACTGGGCGTTTGGTAATCCGTCAGCAAGCTGTTGTTGCTCACACAGGGGGTAAAGAATATCCGAATCAAAGCCAATCACCAGTGCAGGCTGGGATAGCGAGCTCAGTGCCTTATTCACACCACCACGACCACGTCCAACGTCATGTGTGTCCATCATATGCAACAACGTCAAGTACGAGTTGGCATCAAAACGTGACAAAAACTTATCTCCTTGATAATTGAGATATGATTGTACCACATAGCGTCCATGCTTGGACAGTCGCGTATTCTTGTCAGCAGCATACTCTTCTTCACGTCGTCCAAATTTCTCTGCATATGCAGCATGAGTACGATAACTTATCATAGCAATTTGACGAGCCAATGCAAGCCCCGTATCAGGTAAAGCTGACGACGTGTAGTAGTGACCATTACAAAACTTTGGATCCATATAGATTGCTTGACGTTGTAATTCACTCATAGCAATTTGCCATGCAGAATGTTGTGCATTGCATGCAATAGTGACAAAACTCTTGATATAATTGGTCTCCTGACTTTGAAATGCCCATTCCAGTGCTTGCATTCCACCTAACGAACCACCAATAACAGTCTGAACCTGATGCACGTGAAATTCTTCCTCTAATAAATAACGTTGCAATGTTACAGCATCACGTAACGTTATTGCTGGAAAATCTGGACCATACTTTGTGCCACTTGATGGATTAATTGATACTGGACCTGTTGTACCATAACATGACCCAAGAATATTACTACAGATAATAAAGTACTTATTGAGCCAGTCTGAAGCAACCATAGCACCCCAATATTGATGAGCCAGTGAATGACCAGTCAGTGCATGACATAATAGAATCACATTATCCCGTGCAGCGTTAAGTGTCCCATAAGTAGTATATGCAACTTGTGGATTTACAAGTGTCTCGCCTTTTTCTAAATTTAGTGTTTTTGACAAACGATAGACACCTGAAGTGGCACTACCATGTGTCTTTGTTTCATTATATTCGTCGTCAATGTATTGTGGACGAAGTGATAATGATGACGTGCTTGGAATGCTCTTTGACACGTTTGACAAGTTACGCACACGTGATGAAAAAGAAGAAGAAAGGGAAGCTAATTGATTATGCAGGACATGATACAACATAATAAGAAGAAGAATAAAGTCTGTAGAGCAAAGACTTGACGACGTCGTAGTCGTCGTCTTGCCCGTCAATTATCGAATAACTAGAGGTCCGAAGAGATTTCACCACCACCAAATAGTAGTAATCGTAAATAGTAATACTACAGCTTGTAGTACTACTACAGTACTACTGCTGGAAGTTAATATATCACAACGATCAACTACTATTTCGAACCCCACAAATTTCATATAAGACCTCAAAAATCTATTTTGTGTACAATCCACACACAAAAGACTCGTTCGTACAAACCTGATTCATTAAAGTAACACTTAAGTCTCACTCTCCACTCTCTCTACTGCAACGTTGATTCATTTGTCAATCTTCGCTCGAACCCACAAGTCGTCAGCGTCCTTTCTCCTTTCTCTCTCTCTTCTCTCTCCACTTTCTCTCCTCTTCTCTATCATATGAAGATTCTTGTGCCAATCAAACGTGTTGTAGATTACGCCGTAAAAATTCGTGTTCAACCGCAAGGTGTTGATCTAAAGAATGTGAAAATGAGTATGAATCCATTCTGTGAAATTGCAGTCGAAGAGGCATTACGTTTGAAAGAAAAAACACTTGCGTCTGAGCTGATTGCAATTTCCATTGGTCCAAAACAGAGTCAAGAAACATTACGTACGGCTCTTGCCATGGGTGTTGATCGTGGGATTCATATTATCACGGATATGCGCATCGATCAAGAGCTTCAACCACTGGCGGTGGCGAAAATACTCGAGGAAATTGTCAAGAAGGAGAGTCCAGATCTTGTCATTTGTGGCAAACAAAGTATTGATTCGGATGCAGCTCAGACTGGACCATTACTTGCTGGATTATTAGATTGGAGTCAAGGAACGTTTGCGTCAAAACTTCAAGTGGAAAACAATGTTCTTTACGTGACGCGAGAGACAGATGCTGGCATTGAAACGTTAAAGCTCACGCTACCTGCTGTTGTGACTGCTGATTTACGTTTGAATGAACCACGGTATGCGACACTTCCTAATATTATGAAAGCCAAGAAGAAGCAAATTGAAACCTTGAGTGCTGACAGTTTGGGCGTGGAGTTAACACCACGCATTCATGTCGTTGACGTGAAGGATCCCGAGGCTCGTAAAGCTGGTATCAAGGTTGCCAGTGTACATGAGCTTGTGGACAAACTCAAGAATGAAGCAGGTGTGATTTAGAAACAACCAGGCTGTTCAGGACATAAGACGATGGACTCGGAATTTTAATGACCTACTGTGGTGGTAGTTGGTTTTGTTTGTTTGCTCCGTTGGTTGTTAACATGGATGATCCTCTTGTTGTGTTACATTGAGAGTCATCTGAGTAGCAGAAGCATATTGTGGAGGCAACACATAGACGCGTCTCTTGCCGGTTAGCAAGGCCTGTATTGCTTTTCTTTTGCTCATTTGCTTCTGTTGGACGTCTCTCTTTGAATCTCCTGTACGTGACAAACGATCGTTGGACGCTTGTTTCACTCGCAACATGACCAATTCAATCACACTTGTCCTTGTTTGCAATTCATTGCTCATTGTTGTCATTCATTGTGTTTTCATGCTTGCATGCCACAACATAAGGTTGAGCCTTCATCACCATTTTTCTTTGTCGTTACACAACCTTGCTCAAAGACAAGAAAAAACAAACGCGCCAACGTAACCCTTGAATTTGCTTAGTCTCCATGTGATTGCAAACCTGTGAGCTATCCAGCTACTTATGGAATAGTTCGCAGATATCGTGTTGCCAACTGAAACGTCTAACCATCGATGACATTCTTGCGGTTGCTAACGCAAATTCTGATAATGCGGTAAGCGCTTGACACGGAAAATCGTCTACCGTGACGGTTGCATCGTAAGAAAGACGTACCATGACGAAGGTGCCGTTCAGACGGACGAACGATAGTGCATCCTTCCAAACTTAGGAGTTGGGTCAATCGAGAGTCAATGGTTCAAGAGGTTGCGTGTGACCTTCAACGTTTGCAGTAGTTTATCTTCAATTTCAGCGTACTGGGGACAAAGGTTACTCGATCAACAAGAGGTCCGACACAGTTCCTCCTCCCTTTGTGCAGCTGACTTAAGTCGCTGCAGTGACACTATCACCGTCTTACTCGACGTCGGAGGGCTTTCGCCAGCGCGACATTATTCCAGTTTTGCTGATCCTTCTTTCGTCTTCATCACAATAGACTGAGCTTTTGCTACAAAAATGACTAGCTCACTACCGAGATTTGATTGTGTTCATGGATGCGTCGAATCTGAAATGGTTGAGGATCTCCATGAAGCAAAAGGTCTTTGGCTGCTGAAAGTGACTAAAGTGTGTTTTGAACGAGGTGCGAGGCATTTGATAGGACTCGAGGATGAAGTCACCAGATGCGTTTTCTCGCTGAATGAAATAAAAAGTATGCGCGGCCTGTTTCAAGAAAAGCTGTATTGACACGAGGCATGTGTGTAATCGAAGGTTGATACAAAATCGTCGAGCTCAATGCGGGCGAATCTAATTGAGAGACTTATAGCAACGGACCCTCCATCGTTTGCTGTCCGCCTCTAATACAAGCGATTGCTTTGCAATCCTACCGATGACTCCTCTCGACTAATACGTCAACCGCTGTGCAGCAGCGAACATATCACGATGATAAATGTGGCGCTTGCCACCCTCCCCTGACTCAAATGAGCGCATGTTATTTGGCTTTCCAATTCTATGTTATTTGGGATTCCGAACGTGAAAGATTTATTGCATCACGATATCGGACCTTTGAAACAGACAAGAGCAAAGTCACAAGTAGCCTTAGTCTTAGATCTGACGTTGAAGTTGTTGCTGTTGCCTTCTTGCACTTATGACACACTTGAAGTCGTCTTGTAGTCACCAATGGTATTGTTCTCGTTGGAATAACACGACGATGATGTTGAATAAGCCGGTTATCGAATTGCTGTGTGGTAATCTAAACTTTTCGTGGGTCTAGCGTTACTCACCATCTATGGCCATGTTTTGTACGCATCATGACGCTCAGAAAGCTACAAAGTAAAGCATACCTAGTGATACGGACATACAACGATGGCTGAAGAATCGGATGCGGTTTAGACCACCGTATTCACCATGTATAACTTCTACAATTTGCGACTGATCTTCACGAAAACCGATGCAGATTTGACATATGTACTGTAAAGTTGTCATGGAGATCGTGACGGGTGTTCGAATCGACCAATTTCGAGGTCTCTCAGTGATAATAAGTATCGAATAGCTCACGAATTGTCACTGAACAAGGAATGCAGGGTGACATCAATCATTTGACAGGATTCGTCCTATTATTCAAGAAACAATTACTGCTAAGCAGGACTCTTTCCATATTACACGACACAAAATTCACGCTATCGACGGACTCCTGCACTGAGAGGAGATTCGTGATTGCTTCCGCTGTTGTGAGCAAATTGCGAACTTATAACCAGTGACGGCAACGCGGCCACTTCCACGAACCAGGAAAGCATCCGCTGCCACCCCCCACCAAAACGACAACGAGGCCAGTTCCAGGATCCAGGAAAACACTTACCACCTCCAAAGCGGCAACGAGGCCAATTCCACGACCCCGGGAAACATCGGACGTTTTCATACATATCAGCGTCGTAACCATAATCGTTGTCATCGTCCATGTCACCACCAACACCGTCCGATACATCACCTGGCATTCCAGTTTGTTCAGACTGTTCAGGATGGGGCGGATCATTCGGCTGCTCTTGTAGTTGGCGCAAGTGAGTTCCTACGTGATACGAAGCACCACATTAGCCGTAATGTGCTTCTCAACGCACCATTGACAAGGTGTTAGTTTCGTACTTTTCGCATCGAGCTGAAGGGCGGGAACAATAGCTGCTGCAAGCGCCAGCACCGCTATCAGTAATAGCGTCGACAATTTCATCGTCTAGAACTTGATTGGTAAGCTCCTTGACTCTTTTCTTCTTCCCAGTTGAGATCGAATTGCCGACTGAGCTATTGGGGATGAAGAGCTCCCAGCTTAGTCATACAGGATGAGATACCACCGTTTGAAGAAGGGCATGGTCGACAACCGTGTTTACTCTGGCTGGTAAACCTGGGACGAGAAAATGGTGTTTCTCGTCAAGTGGTTGTTCCAAAAGGATTACATTATCTTTTACAATCTTTCTCGCATTCTAAAGCCGTAGGTAATTTGCTTCGTGATGCATTCCTAGGAGCTGAATTGACTTGTTCGGTTCAGCCTTAGCCACAGTGATAGAAAGTTATTTTGCACCGCTGAGCTGTAACTATTGCCCTAGGCTAGTAATGCAATGACCACTGCTCTCACCCGTTTCACGCTTCAAATAAGCTACTCATTCTATAGCATAATAGATATCGCATCAGCTATTGAGCTTTCGAAAAACGGGGTGTGATGCTGTACTTGATGCTCGATTCATACGAAAGCATGGTAAGGTGAAACAATTTAAGCATTGAGGCAACACAACACTTGAACACTCTACAACGAGAAAGACACGATTGTGCACGTTCGGCTGAGAACAAATGTTACTACGGTCAGATCTACCTATCTTTCAAGACTATCATGGCCAGGACACAATGCTCCATTGAATTTTACAAACACGTTTGTACGGTTGCCAAGACGGAAAAAAGGTCTAACGGTGGTATCTCATCCTGTATGACTAAGCTGGGGCTCTTCTCCCCAATAGCTCAGTCGGCAATTCGATCTCAACTGGGAAGAAGAAAAGAGTCAAGGAGCTTACCAATCAAGTTCTAGACGATGAAATTGTCGACGCTATTACTGATAGCGGTGCTGGCGCTTGCAGCAGCTATTGTTCCCGCCCTTCAGCTCGATGCGAAAGGTACGAAACTAACACCTTGTCAATGGTGCGTTGAGAAGCACATTACGGCTAATGTGGTGCTTCGTATCACGTAGAAACTCACTTACGTCAACTACAAGAGCAGCCGAATGATCCGCCCCATCCTGAACAGACTGAACAAACTGGAATGCCAGGTGATGCATCGGACGGTGTTGTTGGTAACAACGATGAAATCGTGGGCTGTTTCCGTGGATCGTTGAATTGGCCGCGTTGCTGCCAGCGCACACCTAATATCTGGCCTGATTGTAATTCTGCTTGTCGTATGCTGCCGCGGGTCATTTAATTGGCCTTGGTGTTGTGTCCATGGATCCTAGTACTGGCCGCGTTGTCGCTACGGAGATTAACCAATTTTCTTACTTTCAAGCGGGTGATCGATTGTCGTATTAAATTGCGTATACCTATGAGACCATCGATCTAAACAATGACCCATCGTTCATTGCAGTAGTGTATTCATCACCCAAATTACACACACGTGTTTACATCCCGGAGATGAAGCGCTACTTATGCTAAATCTTGTCGTTTCATATTACGGACATGATTCTCGTGAAGTTGATTTTTCTTTGCCCAAGTATTTGCATACGCTAGAAGTGTACAAGAAGCACATGAATGTGGCACAAAGATCTGGGCTCCAAAGTAGCAGCACGGTCATTCACGACCCACCAAAACATTTGTAGAACTTGCTTTTATTCACCTGTTTGCGTATTCTTTGTCGCTGTTCATGTCTCCTTCTTCACCTACCAGCGCATAACAGATCATGTTGTCACAAACTTCTTGTAAACTGGTGCAAATGGTTGTTCTTTTCACGCCAAACGTATCTTCCGCTTCTGGCTATCTTAACTTCGAGAACACATTAAGACTAGACATACTAGACTTCATCAACGCTAGATGCGGCATTTCGCGCCGCTTTGTCAGCTACGTCGTTCCACTTCGACTTCCAGTCATTCTTACCAGTGTGAGCTTTTACATGTTTCCAGCAAATGCAGCGACTGCCTTTTTCCGCTATCAGCAGCTCCAGCAGATCACGATTCTGGACAGGCTTGCCATCTGACTTGGTCCAATTGTTCTTTTGCCAGATACCAACCCATTCCGTCATCGATCGAATCAACAACATACTGTCTGAGAAAATGTAAAGCAGTCGAGACTTGTCCGGGTCCTCCGCGTTCGCACGCTGCATAGCTTCCAGAGCAGCCATAAACTCCGCTCGGTTGTTTGTAGCACACGCTTCCACCAGCTGCTTGGCCACATTCCATTCCTCACAGTGTGGGAAAATACAGGCATAACCCGCACGACATTTTTGCCGTCCATTCTTCAGGGCACTTCCATCACAAAAGGCCACCAAAGTAGTCGGATCCTTTGGATTCAGGTAATCATCCTGACCTGTAGCAGCAGTCGCATAAAGCGTCCCAACCTGCTCTCTCGACGATACTTTCTCACAACTAACACTGGATAAATGTTTCACGTGGTTCGTCGTCTCTTCCGACGTTTGCCAATCTCTTGTCTTCCTCTTTTTTGCCACTGCATACGACGGATTTTCTGTTAATGTAAATGAAGTAGTAGTAACGGTTAATGGACCGTCCTGATCAGCAGTAGCTTGTGCTCCAGCAAAACCTTTTAGTGGCAGCACAAGCATTTCAAGAGTGACATCAAATCTTCCTTCAGTATTCTCATCAAAGACGTTGAACTAAGACTAGTCTTTTTCTTGAATCTAGACTCGTAAGGTCTTAATTGACAATAATACCTTGTAGACTGGTAGACTTTTCCGTCTTCTTTGTCTTCTTCTTCTCACATACAAACGCTTGTGCTTCGTCGTGAGTTTTAAACTTTTTGTATTTACTGCCAGTAAAGCCTTTTACTTGCGCTTCACACGCAGCCCATGTTGTAAAAATGCCCGTAGATCGTCCTGCCGCAACAGCGTAAAAGTCGCCTTTCGCCATGTTTTAAAGCCAATCGATTGGTAGAAATCTTGGACGAAACGGCATTGAAATAAGTTAACTGCGAGTTTTTCCCAAATATTTCGTTAAGTAAGTTTCAGGTGAAAAACACGTCGTTTTATTGCAAAGGTCGCTGAGAAGTAACAGCAATTGAATCCAGTAAAAGCTTCAACCCATAGCTTCATTTTAGTCCCTTGTCACGTATTTAGCGGCGATTGCCGATCTTTGACGTCCACTGTGGCGCATTCTCAAAACCATTCGACCCGCTTTGGTAGTCATGAATGGTCTGCTGGATCTCAGCCTCCGAACTCATGACAAAGGGACCGTACTGCACCACTTTCTCATTCAAGGGTTGACCACTGATGACAACAAACTCTAGACATTCTTTATCATCTGTCGTCACATGCACGCCATTTCCTTCTTTTTCCAAAACGATAGCATGGTGCGACTCAATTATAGTACCAGCACACTTGCCAGTACCTTTGAGTGTATACATGAACGCATTATGACCATCCGGTATCTTGTACTTAAGCTCCGCTCCTTGCTTCATGAGGAAATGAATGTACGTTACGGGCGCTTCAGTCTCAATCGGTCCTTTCTGCCCAAACACCTCTCCAGCAAACACAATGGCCTCCACCTTCTTAGAATCGTCCCACACGTGGGGTACTGATTCCCGACTGATTTCTTGGTATCGTGGCTCCATAATCTTCTTAGCTTTTGGCAAATTAATCCATAGCTGCAAACCATGAGCCTTTTCCTCATTCCCGGGCATCTCAGCATGCAAAATTCCCTTTCCTGGAGTCATCCACTGCAAATCTCCCGGTCGAAGCTCACCTTTATTACCTAAAAAGTCCTCGTGGCGCATATGGCCTTCGGAGGTTGGCAGCATGTACGTTACAGTCTCAAATCCTCTGTGTGGATGGTCAGGAAACCCGCCGGGCAGTCCGACATTAAATTCATCCAGCATGAGAAACGGGTCAAGATTGCGGAGCTGTTGGGAACCCAATGACCGTCGTACGGTCGCTCCAACACCTTCTCGTTGTTCCTGAGCAATGAATTGAGAAGCAATGCGTCTTGCTTGAAACATGGTGCTCAAGACAAAAGAGAAAGTGGAATCAAAACGTGTCGGGAGGACCTACAGACAGCGTCTTTATTAGTCACACATACATCTTGCTGTTTTATTTGTTCAATAAATGATACAGCAATTGAAAAATATTTCAAATTGCATAGGAATGTAGCAAAGATAGAAACGAGAAATAACTGCATAAATCCTACAAAAGAGAGATAGAACCAACCTATGTGACGTGTGGCAGATTCAGAAATGACTACTTCAAGGTAGAAACAACAAAATATAGAAGGCGTTTACTGTCGAAACCTGTTAAGTGTCATCTTTTTACGAAAGTAAAAGTTTTCTAACCTACGCTACGACATGAGCAAATGAAGAAAGCATACTCTTTTGTCACACTGTTACTAAATAGCTAACTTTCTTATTGATGGATGGATACACCTGCATGATTAAGTATTAATACACAAATGTAAGCATTGTCAAACAGAAGTGATGCGATTAGACGTAAAACCATGATCGAAACAAGCTAATGGATGCTAGGGGTAGTTTACCCGCTGTGAATACGGCTGCATTTGCCCACATTGTCTTGTAATTAGTTTTTCTTCTTACAAAAGCGAAGAAATGACAACACAATGCCAGATGCTGTGGTGTTGTCGTACTACACCAATTGCTTGGAATGCGATGTACCTTATCGTCGGTCTCCTAGCAACCAAGCTCTGCAAGTCTTCAACTTCTTCTTTCTTTTCTTCTCCACCCAGATACTGTCTCTTTGTCCGTGACCATTAGCGAGATCTGGTCTCTTACAAGCAGGCCAAGGGTAATGTGGAGTGGCAAAACTCTTCAACTTTCGGATGTTCACATTCCATTACTACGTACCGTAGCTATTGCAAAGCACCATATCCCTGTCAAACCAACCCATTGCTGAAGTGAAAGACCCTTCATTCATAATTTATATCCTGCCACTGGTGAGCGTTTCAATCATTGAGCAGTTGCGTGGTACATCTTCCTTGGCCAACTTCAACGTTGCCATCGATCCAATTCACAACTATCCTGGTGGAATTTTAGTGCAATTTGGATGCGTTATGACACCTGCTCTTATCATTCAATGCTTTTAATGAGCCAATGCTTAGTTTGTAATCGTCGTTATTTTCAAAGCCCAGCCCTTGAAAATACCATTTCATCCGTGGTTCAGTGGTCTAGCCAGTAAAACTAAGAATGCGGATAGGTTCAAGCATTTAATCACGAAGATCATCTCAGCCCGGGAGAAATGGATTGAGAACAGCCATACACATATCACTAACTTGCCCGCAACACGTCATAGTACTGGAATGGTGACTCTCGTAGTCTAGCCATCGAGAATCCATCAAGCTCACGCTTCTCTAATAGCCGCAGAGCTACTCATAACAGCTTTGTCGCATCTGCAGCGTTTAACAAGCCATATTTATTCACCATTAGCAAGACGCAGGTTCAATAGCATCCGCGGCTAGGACTTTCCTCCTATCACGCACCAATTCGTCGCTTTAGCTTCACGCAAGTTCTAGTGCTGTTCTGAGCTCCGATGCTAGCAAATGACATCAGCTACCGGATCCAATAACATTGAAAGTGAACTCGAGGTTGATTCAATTGACCTAGGTTGGCGTTCGAGAGATTCAATAGCAAAGCGAATCATGTAGACCCAATTTTCGACTTCTTCTTCACACTCGACACCAATAATGAAGGATCGTCGCTGGTCTTTATAAATCTTTCCCTTTTTCATCCATTTCGAAACCTCGACTTGAAAGCAGTTGAGTTTTGTGGCCACCTCTGGATCGCACGCACTCACTTTGGCGCTTTCGAGAGAAAGTGATGTCCCGTGCCAAACTCCTGCTTGCAGCGATGCAGATCCAGTGGTGTTCGCAATCGGATCGCTTTCTTCGTACTGTAGTAGCAAGCGTGTGTTCTGCAGGACTGCGTAGCGCGTCTTCCACTGACGAGCGTTCTTGAGCCCCTTGAGTTTCAGGTGCGAGAACATACTGCTATATTTCTTGACTATTACGCGATTTGCTTTCAAACGCATTAACGATGGTATCGCGACAAGTGTGCTGTTGGACGAACACAACGACACAGAGGAAGCATTTCGTAGGCTACACACTGACGAAAATCGCTCTTCACATTCGCTGTCTTGAAGAGCCTCCGTCATAGACGACTCAGACGATGAGATGGACGTTACGATCGCTGTATCGCTAGTGATTTCACCATGGTGTAATCCATTGAAATCGTTGCCTAGGTGCGAATCGCGACACACCAGAAGACGTCGTCGTCCTCCGTCGCTAAATACTGGAGATCGTGAGTTTCCCATGCCTACTGTCGGAGTAAGTGCTCGCCAACCTTCTCCCATAGACGACGATGGGATAGCCAACCGCTGTGGACGGAAAAGACTTTCGTTAGCCTTTGAGAAAAACTTGTGGCGCAATTTCTTCTGCTGCTGCTCGCGCAGATCAGCAATACGAGTGTTAAGTTTGTCAAGCTGACCTCGAAGCATTTGCTCGCGAATGACACCACACATAAAGCCGTGGCTGAATTCAAACTTGACTTTCAAGTGACTACTTGCTGCTGTTGTTTGGCTTTTTGTAAGGATAGCCCCACCGATCGATTGAGATGATGTGGGTACGCCTCCAATAAACGTGTCGATTCGGCGTATCATCGACAATTGTTCCAAGTCTTCGAGGTCTTGTGCAAACCGAGAAAGGTGAGCTTCGATAGGGCAAGCGCCACGGAGGATCTCTCGGTCAAAAACAGGCCCAATGGCACTAGCTGTCTTCATTAACATACGCTGAGAAACTGTCAGCTGGTCAAGCATTGTAGTCAGCACGCTCTTGACAGTTCGAGGCGGGCGAAGCGCAATGCGGTTCGTGAGCGTTTCAGTACCCGACCCAAAAGATAATTTTGATGATGCGGCCGACAACGCAACTTGGTCGCCATCATTTCCAGGCTGAAAAATAGAGCGCAATCGGCGTTTTGTGCGTGTTCGTTTTTCTCCGGTAACCCCCCTGCTAACTCCAATGCCATGAGTTGAGCCACCAGGCCGGCGTGATGATGCTAAGTTGTAACACATGCGACAATGACGTACAGGCTCATTACACTTTCCCGGGAGCTTTGCTTGGCATGCTTTCGGTGTACACTCTGCGCAAAAAATGTATCCACAGCATTTGCACCGCTGCCTGATTTTTTTGGTTGTTTCCTCGCCCTGGTCCATCTCCAACTCTTTAACCTTATCTTTTCTTGGGTTCAAGAAGCTGGCGTGACAAGCAAAGCAAAATTGTGCTTTATATTTGTCACCCCATGGTTTTTGCACGTGCAGTTCACATTTGCGCGCACCCTTCTTTTCATCTACCCGAATCACTTGTTGTTCCTGCATCTCAGCAATAATCTCATGTAAGAATAGTGGATTACCTTGTGACCGTGACATGAGAATTTCCAAAAGGTTGTTGGGAATAGAAGGTACTTTCAAAATCTGTTGCGACAGCACCTCAATCTCATCACTACTGAACGTGTCCATCGACATACATGTCGAAAACTTCATTCGCTTGAGCAAACGCAATTGCTTTCGGAATGAGGAACTTTCGGTATGTTCACCCATGGCCAAGCTCGGTGGTCGTGTTCCAACTACAATCAGGCAATTCGTAAAATACTTCGCAATGATTGCGACCAAAACCCACGATTTTTCGTCCATATACATGGCACTATCAAGGCAAAACACTGTAGCCCGTTCGCGCGACATGGCATATAACGCACATAATAATAGAATACCACTGATATCGAGGTCAACGGGTCTCCAGTCAGGTTCTTGTTCGTTTTCGTCGATGCCTTGATCATCTTTGGCATCGTCTTGAGCTGGGTGATCTAACGAGGCTTTTGCGTCCTCTTTTTGCACCAAATCCATTTCCAACAGACCAAGAAACCATGACGCAATCTCCTCCTCCTTCACATTTAGTGTCCTGTCGGGTCTCTCAGCAAACGCATACCCAGATGCGCGCATCTCTTCTTTGTTTTGTCGTTGATTTTCCTCAGTTGCATTATCTTCACTCTGGTTAGAATATGACTCGCTAAATTCTTGACAGTTGTTGTCATTGTGCTTCATCTCTTCTGTTTCAGAATTGACATCAGAAGTGTCAGGATAAGCATCAAAATCCGTGTCCAGGATTGCATTCAGTGAAGACGCGTATCGTATTAGCGTCGTGTTAGGTGCAGCACCCTCGCATATTTTCTGTCTGACAAAGTGCGCCACGCACTTTCGACGTTCCGTTTCAGCCGCTCTGCTCGGTGCCTGTACAGCAGAGCGTGAGCTATCGGTGGTGCTAATGTCTGGAAAAAGGGGCGGTGCGGGTTCAGTATTTAGGTGACCATTGGTAGTAGTATTCCCTGACAACTTCAACGCGCCTCTAGTGATTAGCTCCGACCAAATTGCATACGGTTTCTTCGTCGCAAATGGGCAAGCTGTACCAACAAGTACTTGGTAGTCTCCAGCTTCGGGACTTGCAAGAGCAGATCGCAGTAGCACTGTCTTTCCCACGCCAATATCACCCTCCAGCACAAACGCCCCGCCTGGAGAAAACGAGTTCAGGTGCAAACACTTTTCCATCAATGCTGTTCGAGCCTCCACAAAACTCTCACCCTCAACCAGTTCTTCTGCTGACAACCTTTGACGGTCTGCACGTAATGATAACCTTCGCTGAGCATCACGCACTTGTACACGGTGCATGTTTTCCATTAGATTCGGCATTGGCGCGGCACACCTTACAACAGCGAGCGCATTGGCGCGTGCAACTCGTCCAACAATCTTCGACGTAGATCTCATGGCATTAACTTGAGCCGCGGACTGCTGGGAAGCAGTTGTTAGGTGATGGTCGAGCAAGATTGACATCCGTGGGTACGGTCGGTGAATCTTAATGCTTTCGTTCTTACCTTTGACCATTATCTCTGGACGTTTCTCGAAATGCAGCACGTCCTGCGTGTAGATTTTTGTGGATGCATCCGTGATGACTCCACCCCCTTCGGATTTTGCACGTTGCATAAGGCGTGCCGATAGGTTTACAATGTCACCCAAAACAGTATATTCTCGTCGGTTCCCTTGATGGCCAACAACTCCACATAATGCAGTACCTGTCGTAATTCCTACAGAAGCCTTTAAGCCAATGTTTCCGAGCGCAGCACAGATAGCAAGTGAGGCCAAAATGCCACGAATGGGATCATTTTCGTGAGTCACGGGTGGTAATCCGAATGCAGCAATGACAGTGCTGCCCTTATCGTCCACAAGAAACTTATTGATTGTGCCTTCATAGTCGTAGACACACTTTTGCACAGAAGCAAATGCATCTTGCAATCGCTGTAGTTCGTTTGCTCCAAGCATTTGAGCCAAATCCTGCTCACTATGAAACGATACGTATTACACATGTTCGTTAATTTTACAAGTAAGTCGCGCAACAACCGACAAAAACAACAACAACAATATACCTGAAGCCAAGATTAATAAATAATACGGTCAAGTCTCTAAGCTCAGATCCCCAAAACTCATCATGGGCATCCAAATAGGGCCACACAGCTCGAGATACGTATTGCTTCATTCGTTCATGTAGCAATGCATCGTGGCGTGTAAATGACGGCCGAAACGAGCAAATTTTGACAGGCATAATAACACCTGTGACCTTGTGGAATAAATTGGTATGGTCGTTCTTGCCACTAGCACGACTGCGAACAGGTGCGCCATGAAAGAACGCGCTGATGTTATCCCAGCACTCACTTGAGCAAATGACGTCTCCTGCTTCAGCCTGATGTTCTGAATCAAATGCCTGTTCCAAGGCCGGTCCAACGGCAACATACTCAATACGAGCTGTCGCTCCATCACTCTCACCTCCCAAATGTGCAATCGTGGCTTCACCAATACCTAAGCCTACCTTTACACTTAATACGACGCCACGAGCTAGCTCTGCCTCGTGCAAATGGGACTGAATGCGTAATGCACATTGCAGTGCACGACGCAATAAACTATCCATCGTATCTTCCTTACTCTCGGACCAGAAAATAAGCATCGCATCACCTGCAAACTTAAACACGTCGCCACCTGCACTGGATACGAGTCGCAAGAGTTGCTCAAAGTATGAGTTAAGGTGTTTGGCTAGATCTTCTGCACCTACTGGTCCACGTGCAGCAAGTGACTCGGTCATGGCTGTAAAGCCAGACACGTCAGCAAACATGCTTACAACCATCGTACGGTGTGTAGTTGGCATAGATAGTGGATGTTGCAAGTCCTGTTTCTCCAAATGGCGACGTACAACTGCTGGGACGTACGCTGTAAGCCGCATGTCCAGCTCTTTGCGCAACATGCCAGAGCTTAGTCGCTCACGCGCACTCGTTTTTTTCTGTGCTATCACGATCTTGGCTTTCTGTGGTGTACAATCTCTCTATATATAGTATAATACAATAATAAAAACCGTAGCGACCTTGTACGCTTTGTTTTTTTGTTTCCTTTCGGCTTGTGCCCTGCGTTTCTAAATTGGAAATGACGTTACAAGACGAGCGGTCGGTTGAAGTGACAATCACTCTGACCCCTCGGACCCTTTTTTTATTTAGTTGCCATAAAAGCGCCGTATTTTTATAAAGGCCCCATCATGTGTTTAACTACTAAGTTTTCCTCTGCTAATCAAGATCTGGTTTCAATTAGACGATAAATACATGGCATGCATACACTCTAAACCAATCACATGTCTTCATTTCGACGTACGTACTGACAAGATGGGCTTTATATGTACCCGATTTGAAAGGATATTAAATGTGTACAGCATAACATAATGTGCGTTCGAGTATATAAGTATATATATATTCATATACACAAGAAGATGTTCGGAGAAAGATCCACCGGCTACCTAAGAGTTCAGCCTCATTTCAGCCACACAGCCACACAACACGGTGCCAAATGTGTCAATACATATATCACCAGGAGTAGGAAGAATAAGCGCTCCAGCCAGTCAGTCAGTCATAATGGAATACTAGCGATTGACAACAAATAGCTCCATGGTTCTTATGGAGCGAAGAAAACCTGCCAGACGGGGCTTCTTGAACACCGTAACATCACTGCTGGCGTGCAATACACCTTTTGTTCGATAGAAACGTGGCTGCGATGCAAGTATCGTTGTATTGCGTGTATGTAGAGACCCGGTGTATTCTACATTAGCCAAAATTACCTGGATCTCCTTGACACTTTATACAACCAGTCTACTGTTTTGTAAAAGTTGTTGGATCCTCAAGACAGAGCTACCAGCTACAAAACTGCAATTTTTATAAGGCACACTTAATTAATCTAATATTGGGTTGGTTATTTAGAAACCTGACGCCACGCAGCCATCTCCTTCTTCGTTTGCTCGGATGCACCGACATGCTCATGTTCATATCCATAGCGTAGACGGCAGCCTAGCACTCCACAATCAAAGCCATGCCGTTCCATCTCCTCGTCGTCCAAAGCAATTTTCTTCATGCTAAAGTTGCTCCGACTATTTTGATGCCAAATATGACGCTCCCTGGTCAGTACACTGCATTTGACCAGCCATGGCAAAAAACGCGCTTCCCAATATGTTCCAATCTCTGTAACCAATGTTTTTGAGTCCAGAGCAATGGAACTCACGAGTTTGCCACGGCGAAACGCCGCTAAAGAAGACACGGATGGCAGTCGCAATTGTCGCAACACATTATCATCACCACTTGCGATCATCGCCATGTAAAACTTTGTGCCCAGAAATTTCTGTGCCACAGCAGCCAGTTCAATACGCATTGCACGCACAAGCGCTGGCTCCATAGTGGCGCTACTGTCAAGGACAAGCACCACTCTAGGCACGTCTGGTTCATCCCGCAGCTCTTGCACAAAATGCGACACTTCTGCATCAAGTACCACCCCGTATCCATCAGCCGCATCCTGTGCTGCCTTTTGAAATTGCTGCTCAAGCTGTTTGCGTCGTACTGCAAGCATACTTTCCACACTAAACTCATCATCACTGTCCTCAAAGTTATCATCAGATCCCGAGTCCGATATTGACATACAAGACTTCATAGATTCAGAAACAGCAACTGAAGTCTGTGGCTTCGCGGATGTAGTAGTCGCTAAAGGCGGTCGAAACAATTGATGACGCATCCGTACAGCTCCGGATGTGGGATCGTGTGCTGTCAGTACCGCCTTAAGTTTCATGGCCTTCTTATACTCGTGCTCTTCACGTTCACAGCATGAGGCCAAGGTCGGATCAAACACCATATTTTCCATTTCGTTGTAGTATTCATCTGTATCGTTCTGGTTGAGAGCGGTGCCAACATGAGCACAGGAAGTCCTGAGCTTAGCTTCTGTCACCATTATCCGTACCAATGAATACTTGCAAGAACGTATAATTTTATCATGGTATTAGGCTTTCAAATGAAACGCTTTTTCCTGATTCTAGAATTTCGCAGAAACAACAACACGTGAGGGGAAGCTGCTCGATATTAATCTTACGGTTTTCTTGATGAGCAGTGAGAAATCGCAATTTACATCATTTTGATTAGTTAAAAATAGTACGGTCGCCGTGGCCCAGTCATCCGCTCATTCGTCTCATACTTTCAATTGAAAGTCTGGATTCAAGAGTTGACGAGATTAGTCTAGTGTCTCTTGCTTCTTGCAGCTTGTTCTACGTCCTAAATCCATCTTGCACTTGCATCACCATTGCAACCTTATCGTACTTCCTCTGCTTGTCTAAGTTGCAATCTCACTTTTGCTCTAACAGTCGAGTTATCCTTGTTTACAGCTCGCCATGCAAAAAGCGTCATTCTTGACAACGACTCGTGTCGTACGAGCAGCGTTATACCGTCCTTCTAGCAGCTTACAGAGCCGCAACTATATGAAGCGCAGTGCCTTGATCGTCCTAAAGCATCGTTGCATGAGCTCACTGGCACCTAAAGTTGCAATGGCTGCAGTGGCTATGGATGTTAAACTGTCTGACGAGTTTAAACCCGCCTCACCTCGTCGTCTTGCTGAAGCTGATTGGGCCGTACGTGCGCAGCAGCTGACACCTCGCACTACAGTAGAAAAACCATATCAGCTGGCATCACTGACGTTGGGTCTCGAAGAGCTCATTGGCACGACAGAAGAGCAGTTGACTAATTCGTTGGAATTAGCCCAGAACTCGCGCTCTTACATTTCGGACGAGGATGTGGATAAGTGGCTAGAGGATTTCCAAATTCCTACAAAGCAACTGGCCAAGTGCTCAACGCCTGAAGAATTTCAAGAAATGCGTCGACGATATGCGCGACAGCTTCGTCTCGAGTGCTCTGTATATGAGATGGCAATGGATAAGTACACGTCTTCGCACGAGAAAGTGCGACAACTTGGTCGATCTACTGAAACCAATGCAGCTAAAGATCTTATTCGGAAGTGGATGCCCGAGACAAAGAGGTACATCGAGGCGGAGCAGAAGAAGATTAAAACAGGGAAACACAGCACGGACAGTAACCTATACGGCCCAGCTTTGATGCTTCTAAAGTCTGACGTGCTCGCTGCCACGGGTATGAACATCATGCTGAACTCGTGTCTGATGGAACCTAAAGGACCCAAATTCATTAAATTAGCACTTGCCATGGGCAAGGCGGTTCAGGAGGAGATTATTTCAAGAAAAGAGGAGGCAGCAAAGCGAAATGACGGGAAAACCGATAAGTTTGGCTTGAAATTAACTGAGGAAATTAAGTTTGATAGCCTTAAGGTACGCATGAGAGAATATATTGATACTGTCGGTGGCTGGGATAAGCGTCTTCAGATCAAGGTCGGTGCCGCGGTTGTCGACTGTATTCAGCGCACATGTTATGTGCCTAACAGTTCAGGCGAAGTGTCCACACCTGAACTTTGCGCGACTAAAGGCCTGCCTGCGCCTGAACCAGCTTTTATTCACAACTATGTCTTTGATCGCAACCGCCGCGCTGGTGTGATTCAGATTCACCAAAAAATGGCTGATACTGTGCTGGCGACAAGGCCAGATGCAAATGTTTTGCCGTGGACTGCGCGCTATCTGCCGATGCTTGTGCCACCCCGTCCGTGGACCGGCGTTGTGAACGGTGGATACCTGAAATTGCGCACGAAAATTATGCGCCAACGCGACTCGGCCTGGCAAATGGATTGCGTTCAGCGTGGCGAGATGGGTGGCATTTTGAAGGCGTTGAATCTTATGGCGGAGGTCCCGTGGGTGATCAACAAAGAAGTGTTGAATGTTGTCCTTCAGATCTGGGAGGACGGCGGTAACTTTGGCGACTTGCCTACACGTAAAGAGGTCCCACTGCCCGATCAAAACAGTCCAGAGTTTGCCGACGACCCAGCACTTTATTACAAGAATGTCCGCAAGGTAAGCTCACTGAATGTATGCATACATTGACGCAACAGAATCAAGCCCACATGATGGTGTTCTACATCATATGGGTTCAAACTGATTGCAAAAGCAAGCAGTTGCTGCTTGGAGACTGGACGGTTCTTAATCGACCTGAAGCCATCTGAGAGGTTTCAAATAAGGAGCTTTGTAACTCACATGTCTGACAAAGTTGCTATCGTGTATTGAGGCTCTTACATCGATGATGTTGTACTGGTGTTGGATGTAGATTGAGCAACTGAACCGTGAGTTCCATTCGCTGCGCTGTGATACTTTGTACAAGCTTCAAGTTGCTGAAGAGTTCAAGGATGAACCAGAGCTCTATTTTCCGTATAATATGGACTTTCGCGGTCGCGTGTACCCGATTCCACCAAACCTCAACCACCTGGGCTCCGATCTCTCTCGTAGTTTGCTTATTTTTCGCGATCGCAAGCCCTTAGGTGAGAATGGATTGCGGTGGATGAAGATTCATCTGGCCAATGTTTTTGGTGTGGACAAGTGCTCATTTGATGAGCGCGTGGAATTTGCGGATGCCCATCTGGACAAGGCCGTGGCATCGGCACGCAATCCTCTTGGCGAGGGTGATTGCACGTGGTGGAAGGGCGCGGACTATCCATTTCTGGCACTGGGCGTGTGCTTTGAGCTCAAGCGCGCAATTGAGTCTCCCGACCCAACAAAGTACATGTCTAATATCCCAATCCACCAGGACGGCTCGTGCAATGGACTTCAACATTATGCCGCCCTGGGCCGTGACCGTCGCGGGGGTGGTCAGGTGAATCTTGTACCCGCGTCTCGACCGAGCGACGTGTACACGGGTGTAGCAACACAAGTATTAGAGAAGGTGGAACGTGATGCTGCTCTGGACGTGCCAAGCGTCGAGGAAGTAAATGCGATGCTCAAAAATGCTTCTCCCACCGACAGAGTGGAACTACTCAGGTTACTTCGTCAGGCTCACAGGAAGAAGTGCGCTCGATTTCTTGACGGTATCATCACGCGAAAGGTGGTAAAACAGACAGTAATGACGAGCGTGTACGGTGTGACATACATAGGTGCGCGCAAGCAGATCTCCGCTCGTCTGCACGAGGCGTTTCTTACCAAAGGACACATCATGGATGAGTTACTAGAAGACGACATTTACCATTCTGCGTGTTACTGCGCTGAACTGACGATGGGCTCCATGGGTGACTTGTTTACCTCTGCACGAGGCATTATGGAGTGGCTGGCAAAATGTGCCGCTCTGGCGGGTGAAAGCGGCCAACCGATGTCTTGGATCACTCCCCTGGGTCTGCCGGTGGTGCAGCCGTACCGCAGCAAGTCTACAAAACAGGTGCGCACGAAGGTTCAGCATGTACTGATGGTAGAGAATGAAGGGCGACAGGTGAGCATCGGTCGTCAGAAATCAGCCTTTCCGCCAAATTTCGTTCATTCTCTCGACTCCACACACATGATGCTGACAGCACGTCGTTGCCTTGAGGACGATAACATTGCATTTGCAGCCGTGCATGACAGCTACTGGACGCACGCGTGTTCCGTGGACATTATGAACCGCCGACTGCGCGAAGAATTTGTGAATTTGTATGAGCAACCTCTGTTAGAAGATTTGCTGACGGAATTGCGGCTTCGTTTTCCAGACATGAAGTTTGAGGATGTGCCCCAGCTAGGTGACCTGGATCTGCGCAGCGTCCTAGACAGCCCTTACTTTTTTAACTAAGGCGGTTATTCTCTTTCTTGGAATGGATGGCCTTGTAGCTATTTTTTCACCCTCGTTTTGAATGACGTTGGTATATCTAGAATGTAACAAAGTCCTGTGAAAATTGTGTTTGAGCTGCCTGTATGCTTCTTATTGTCTAACTACCGTCAGCGAAGTCATGATGTTGACCATTGCAAACTGCATTCTGTATATGCCTCAGATGTCGTGACCCTGCCCACACTAAACAACACAACCCACGCAACACACTATCAACATCTCATTCAGCTTTCAAGCCCTAGCACTAGCTATTTGCATTCCAGCAGCCATGATCCGATTGGTTGTCAAGCTTATCATGACGACATGACTTCGAGCAGATGCAGCTTTAGAACCTCGATTGAATCTCCGAACGGATCGTAATACAAAGCACGTTACTTGTCGCTGAAAAATGGAAATTTCGTTGAAACGTGAAGGGTAAAGCTCTAGCGGTTGAAGCAATATATTGCAGCGCGCTTGCTGTAACTACCTAGTTTTCACCATCATGTTGCGCAATATATCGTTTTTGTGCTGTCGTGAGACCAACACCGTTATCATATAGTATATCCACAGACCAATACGAAGCCAAGTTTGCTATTCCATGACGCAAAACATCAGCATAGATCAAAGCTGTGGCGGATGCGCATCAAATTGGTATGGTGTTACCAATGGACATCGAGAAATTCAGGATATTTACATAAACGCACTCAAATGTCTTAGGAGCGACCATTCTGAGCTGCGGTGCCGGTATTGCCACCCACTTGCTTGATGTGAGTTTTTTAGTGCAACTAGCGCGGCGCGCAGCGTCGCTCGCTATGACCTGCTCCAAGCAACTTTTGCATTGTCAATATAGTAAGGAATGGGAGATACTGATACGGCAACATTGCACTGCTGCGCGGTTGTCGATCCGGAACCGAAGAAATGCAATATGGCCGTGCCGCTCAGTATGAACGGGTTACATACCTTCTGACGACTGTTTGTATTACTTCCAAGTTCATACGTGCATCTCAATCCATAGCTCTCGCCGTCCAGTCCGCGGTACAATTTCTAACAAAACTTGCACACATGGAAGCAGGCAAGCGCCATAGCTTCAGCTGGAAAACCTCTGCATGACTTGTAATAGCCTTAAGTGCTCGCTACCACCTCTTTGTTTGCCTCGGAAGAAAGCATACTTTCCTTTACGGGCGTGCACGACCTGCGTGTTTTTTCCGAGGCTCATTGCATTCAGAGCGAAAGCAGATCCCATTGAGCACTGTGGGCGTCCAATATGCTACGTCTAGGACATCAAATATGAAGTTTACTACTCGAAAAGAGTCGTGTGTTGCTAAGATAACGTTACTAAGATGCAGCTTTGGGTCGCGTTGGTAGCACAATTATTTGTAAAGCGACTATACTATACGAAAAGCACTCAACTTATTTTTCTGATAGGCAAAACGAAGCAGCTTTTCAAGCTCTTGAGTTCGGTTTAGTAAGACGGACTTTCTGAATATGTCCATCTAACGCCACATTGCTACCTTTGTGCTATAGCGATCATACACGTTCGTATCTGAAGATAACGACTTCAAGTTGCGGCTAGGATGTGGATAATGTCGCAAGAAGCATACGCATCGTTCATAAGAGTCGATCACACAGTATCGATGGCTCATTCCGGCAATAATCCATCTCTCTTTTGCCGGCTACGTCAGGTTCCGAAAGCTTGAGCATGGCTGTACCGTGGCGACGGGGCCCAAAGCAATGAGGAGCTATGCGTAACGCTTCCGGCACCTTCTACTACTTTGCGTACCAATACGCGCATACCATCGCGTCTCGCTCGCATATTGCCTTTGACATGGCCCTGTCGACCTCATCAAGTCGGACGGCATCATGGACAGAAATGTTAATCAAAAAATGTGCTAGCCTATAGCGGCGTATCCAATAGCGGTGGTAGCAATAATTTCTTCTTCACAATAGTGCTGCGCAGTGTCCTTGTGCAATCCTCCGGCATGTCGAGTGCTTTGAACACAACAGGGTGCCGCTGCTTCCATGGGCTGATGGGACCAGTTCTTTCTCTTTCAATTCTTAAGCACGCGCGACATTCCCGATTTACATGTAACTGTCGTTTTTGAGTAGAACAATGCTGGTTTCTGACATTCCGATGGACCAGCGTGCACCGCACCAAATAGTTTGAAGCCCAGAGCGTCTTGGGTTTAGTACACGGACCTAAACGAAAAGCCGGATGACCAGCCCTAGAAAAATAACTTGCTGCTGGTTCGGTGACTACAATGGTGCTGAATGCATAACTCCTCTGCCAAGATCGACATATCAATCGCTAGCTAATTGTGTTGTGGATGTAAGGCTGTATGCTTATGTGACCGACCTAAGGAGTCTGCAGGCAATAATGGTGACTTTGTCGTGATTCCTTGCGTTAGTCTAAGTTGTTTTGCGTACTAGTATGCGTGTGGCATGGGCAAACGTTTGTCGTATTGCATAGCTATTAAACGTAGCTAGTGGGGGTCATTCAACACGCCACTCGTAATATCTCACTACACTTGATTCAATACATGACACAATGGCTTGCATCAAAACCTTAAGAAAATGCATTAGTGTTAGGTTAACTGGCAAAGGCTGCACTCTTGAGTCTTACGAACAATTTCTAGACCGAGGTAGGTCGGAGGGTTGTTTGTCACAATGGATGACTCCCGGACTGCTTGGCATCATGCGTGCCTATGTTGACGTGCAACTTTGCGCGGTCCGTTGAGCTGAGAGGTGAGTTAGCTTTAATTTTAGCTTAAGCGGAAAATTTTAGAGATGAAACAAACTTTGAATAGATGACAACAAGCGATGTAACACAATCAATTTCTAAGTTATTCGTGCCGTTCAAAGGATAAGGATGATGTACTTATTATCATGCTGAGAAGCGCGAACCTTGCTTTTTTTTACATCATGTCAATCCCAGGAGCCATGCGCAATCGATCATGCTGTGGTTTTAGGCTAAGATGAAACAATTACTACATCTGCGTCTAATTAGTTAGTATCTTAGTACAAAGATTAGACATTAGGAGATACATAACAAGACACTTGGAACCATGGCACACCATCAAAACCACTTTACGCACCGGGAACCTCTTAAATTCACCAGCTTAGACGATTCAAACGCTAGGGAAGTGGCATACGACAATGATGACGGCCGTTGATGGTGGCTGTTATGACGCAATGATGACGAGCATAGATTGAAACTCACGTCTTCTTAAAACTAGAAGCTGTACCGGCCAGAGGGGTGACGTTGGCCTTTCCGGCGGTTACCGTTTCGCCGCAAGACAGCTTGTTCTAGCCGCGTTGCAGCGACAAACTTGCTGACGAGCAAAATGAGCGGAAATTGGCAGGTAAAGAGCAGAGCAATCTCCGTAAGTGAACTGTTAGCCATTCTGACGCGTTAAACCCGATGCAAATAGCCATTTTGGAGCTGGGCGCCAGTCTATTTACCAGAAGAGACCCGATCACCGTGCTTCTGATCGCGTCGAGTGAGCCCTCCAGGTTTGGGCGACCTTGAAGCCCCGCTCGTCATGCGTAAAGTCGCTACAATAGTCACCGGAAAATGTCAGACTATAGCGCCTTGTCCATGCTGCTGCTGCTGGGCAGGTACTCGAGGGACCAGACCATACTTTGTCTCAGTATCTGCAATCTTAAAGCGTGGTGTTCATAACGCCGGTGGCCTTCACGTCGAAGAGTTGTGTTTAAACTCGGCGTGGATGCGCCTCCTGGTGAATGTAACCGTGTTGACCAAGCATGGACCACCTCGCCTCATTCACCCAGCTCCGATGGTTTGTTAACTTGTACTATACAGACAGCACGTTGTGCCGAGACGCGTTGTCAAAGAAGACGCGCGGGAGGGCAGCAACACCCTAGATGAATACGCAACGTGCGACACCGCCTCATAACAACGCCTTCCGTCGCGACTGGTGTGGCGAATCGTATACTCATCCTCTCTAGGCCGTCCGTGGCTCTCTTTAGGGGTCTCATCCTGTTGCCTGCAGTGCTCTTTGCGGCTGCAGTCTGTAGAATCCCGCTTTAGATGTTTGACGTATTCAGAACCGATGTGAGTGATTTTGGAAGAATTCAACTGATTATGAATTCGACCGGCGCAAGATCAACCCTGGCTTCTGGATGCACCATGACAAGCAGAAAGAATTGGGTTAGTCTTCATTTCGGTCGAAGCACGCCACGCAATGGTTGACGCGTCGGTAAAAGTAATATACTGTAGCGTGGAGCGTGTGAACGACAAAGGGGCATGCACCGTACGGACAGACACATCCCACCACGGGATCCCGTGAAGATCTACCCATGGCAAAACGTTGCGCTATTAATAAAGAGTTGGGGACCTATCTTGTGCACCATCCGTGGCAAACTACAATTGGTGCAGCGTCAAACAATGTTGCATTTCCAACAATTGAGGTAGCCGTTGACAGCTCGTAAGAAGGGCAAACATGGACTTTGCACCTGCAGAAATCCGTCGCACCTAGAGCAGGTGAGGATCAGCTATAGACGGGTGCTTTGAAGCTGTTCTGGGGCTCATTTCTTTTACGCAGACAACCTGTTGATTAGAGTCAGAACTTCCCGAGCTGAGGCTGCGACATTACAAGCGGGTTGCCGAGAATTCCTTAAACACCTTGAACATCAGGCGAATAGGGCTGATGGAATATGTCTTGACGTTTCCACAATCTTCCTCGCGCCACTTACCACTCAAGTTGCACCGCTAAGCGCTTAGAGTTCTTCTAGCCTCGCCGCACGTGGACGCTGGGACTATCTTATCGCAGTCGGTGCCCTAACGTTTTTAGCCTCCGCCGTTAAGGTCACTGCCCTGTGCGTGTATGAAGGAAGCCCGGTAGAGTCTACTATATCCACGACAGCATCAGGCCAGCACAGGAATTTATTGAAAAACTGACGGGGACATACCTTCGCTGGAGATAGAGACCGGCGAAATTTATGCCATTTGAATCCCACAGCCGCAATTTTACAGCCGCAATCTTATCGACACCGCACTCGTATTCGAGGCCTTACCCCACATATTTCCTTGGCCGCGCCTCCGGATGGCTCCAAACATCAATCTGTTGGTTTACTTTAACCGTCTGGCGGGAGTTCGGCAACCTTTGGCTGCTGTCACTCACGCTTTTGATACAAGGTGGCGGCGGATGGCTGGCAGCACGACCTAATGTGTCACGATCCCAGACTCTGTGGGTTCATCAGCACGGCCTCACAGGTTATCAAGTTTAAGCTGCATATCGGATCTCGACGCACAAGCTGAACTTCTTTTGAATCGGTCGGCCCGCCGGAGTTCCGTGCCCCACCGGGAATCGATGCGCGGCAAAGGGCAGACGTACGAGAACCTGTTCTGGAGCTGTCGCTCGCTCAAGCGCAACTTACAGCCACTGGGAAGGCACGTGGATGTGGCCTGAGCTTTTGCAACGTTGAAAACACGCATGTGCGGCAAGAATCAAGGCGCTTACCTCTTCCTATATCGACGGATGGTAGCATAACGGTACCATGAAAAACCGTGTGGCTTTGCTGTCAACTGGGCTTGATGTTGAATGCTTCTCTGCACCGTCGCGACCACGAGCCTCTGCATCAAACGTGTTAAGTGTCTTTCGCGGCAAATGGATGACGCCACAGGAAAGTGCAGTGGCTTACTGAGACTGAAGCAGTCCGACAACTCGAAGCCGTCCGGACCGCGACGACTGCAAGCCAGACGCTGTCATCCGCGGCGTCACATTACACACACGCATCGAGATGTTCACTTACTCACCGAGAACGTCCATGATTCTCCGTGAGGAGTGCTGTGGTACAACGTCGTGCTCGTGGTCGTGGTCGCCGGCTTTTCAATTTCATCAATGGACAGATTCAGGAATCTTGTTATGAAATAGTAAATCGATATCGTGAATCTATCTCTTGTGGTGCTGTAAACATCACGTTTAGTACGCCACATCAGCACCAGATCTTCTCATTAAAGTATCGATTGTGTTTTTTATCACCGCAATGCTGATTACTGTGACTATATTCCTCGTACATACTTGTGATAGAGTCTACAATTGCTCATCACTTTACACAGCAGGTACCAATTGCACCAGTACTAATCACTCAAGTCTCAGTTCCCAAACGACAAACTCAATGAAATGGAGGCCCATACTATTTACATTTATCAATTGACCCATGACGTATCCACTCAGAAGATTTAAAAAACCGTCCTACTGAAGCAAATTCACCCTCAACTCAAGAAAGTCTTCAGTGAGAAGGATACGCCATCGATACATATCGCCTCGCTTTGTCATGAAGTGACTCAAGCTGGTGGCAATGTCAAAACCATTTTAGGTATTCCATAAAGACATCACTGGGGTATGGACTCTTTACGTTCGATGGACTGCCCACGAACACCGAAAATATATAGCTGCTTTCGTATTGGCATGAACAAAGTAGCGCTTTTAGACGCTGCAGCTATTGGCCTCCCTGTGTTTCATGCTTTTTCTACAACTTGCTCGAACCGTTACAGACTAGACGTTGTGTAAGATCTATGGCACTGCATTGGAAGCTTTGTAAACGCTCCACGAGAATGCACCAGGGAATTTGGGTTAGCCAGCCACTAAATCTCACGAAGCACATGGCACGACACCGGACATCAATGGCTATGGACGCATCAGATTCGAAGTGTTTAAACTGGCAGAAATACTGAATATGAAGGTGGCTTTCTACGACTAGAGTGTCTACCTTTAGGAAATGCATAGCTTCTGTAAAAGAGCTGCTAGGACGGCGGATGCCGGGACTCTCCACGTGCCACACAACTGCGCCAACCATGCCAAATGAACCAATGATCAGCCGTGAGACGATTGCACTGATGAAGGGTGGTGCTCTAATGGTCAATAGAGCCCGTGGCACGGTCATCGACGTTGATGTTGCAGAGGAGGCTGGCGACAGCGTTAGGATTTCTGTGAGGCTGTGAAATTGTTTTACTCAAGAATCGGCTTAGAACAGCAAGGCAGCCACACGCTTTTGTGTGCTTGCAAACCTAATCTTTCACCCGTCACATTGGTGGCAGCAAACGGAGGGGGTCAGGGCAAATTTGCAGTGGTAAGTGGTCTCGAACATTGGTGTTACATAAATGTAGGCTCTACAACGACGTATACCAACATTCCGAGATTGACATGCTGTCTATACGCAACCACTCGATACCCATTAATTGACCGTCATTTACATGTGCCTGCGAAGTAGAGTCTTTTTTTCAGATGCTCGTGGTAATAAGTTTTAGCAACAAAGCGTTGCGTCAACAGTTTGCTTGCAATTGACACGCATTCTAACAGAAGTTTAAGCATAGAACCTTCGATTCTTATCGATGGATGGATGGTTAATTGGATAACGAGTTGAGAGTTCATGTTACAAAGCATGTACGTGAAGGTGAGCCATCCCATCGACTTGTCCGGGCAAAGTTGCATATAAGACTGAGGCGAGGTTACTGGGACTAGGACGGCTTCATGGTGCTACAGGGCACGGAAACAATGGTTTACACAGCCTCAGCACTATTCTTCATGCTTCAATACCTTTGCAAACCAGAGACCCACCTCGTACAAAATGGCCCCGCTACACTTTTCCTACAACGATGTACAGCGTCGTCGCTCGCTATCCGTGAAATTTGCATCCACCCAAAAAACAACAAGTTGCTGCGCGGTAACTGCAGCGCGAAGTGATCAACCCTGCCTTTAAGGGTGTAGTCCTTAAGCAAGTAACGGTTCCATCCGGTTTAGAGCACTTACCGTAAATGTCTCGACGCGCGATACTTTACCCGCTCGTGACCACATGGTCAGGATATTGGTAGCCGACGTAGCACGCGAATTTTCTTTGAGAACTCCCCGATGCGCCTATGATTATCGACGCTAGTCATCCGTCGGTCATAACATTAAGTTTGTTTTGTAAGTCTCAGGAAGAGCGCCAAAATTTGTGCAATTGTGACTATCGCTTGTTTTGAACGAGATTGATAGCAAAGGTTAAATGGTTCGCAATCGATGTACATACCAGCGGCGTCAAATCGAGAGCGTATATCTAGCATTCCAATACCTCTCTCGTCCCTTTCGGTTGGCTTGCTCTATTCGTATTAACAAATCTGACTGCAGAAACGTTGCAAGCATTACAAGTCGTGTACGCCATGTACTACTTTCGCGTCGCCGTTTGCTCGAACCATCACTCTCTCGTAACATTTCGTGAGATGTGCATAACATCATATATCATATACGTATTCGCGTCAGCTCCGTCATCTTGATGTTTGGCATCATGTAAGGCTCGTTAGTCATTTGGCCACCGAAGGCGATTTGGTTACTCCACCTTACTACTGGTCAAGAAACAACTTTGAGTGTGATGGAATGTGCAGACACTACATCAACTCGGCTAAAAGCTCGATTGCAGCGCTTTGTATTGTATGTCGGTTACCCTTCTGTACGGAAGTTCTTGGTCGATTCTAATCTCAAATGCAAAGCAGATTATTACAAACCTGTGACCTCAAATGTTACCAAATGTGCGTCCTGCTACATGATGCTCATTTATTGTGCCTCCTCAATATTTGGACATTGCTTCGCGCACGTGCAACTCACGTAGTTCTTGCATCTTCTGCGCAAAGAAAACCGTGTCGAAATAGTACTGCTGCAGAGCCCTATCAGCTCGTATGGCACGCTCTTTCGGTGACGTGTTGTTCAGCGTGTTCAATACTGCATCGCAGACTGCGCCGCCGTCAAAGTTGGCAAAAAAACCAGAAACCCCACGGAGTGCATGGGCCTTCTTGGACGCTCCACCTAAGAATTGTTTCGGATTTCGCACTGCTTTAGCCCTGATCAGTGCACCAGACGATGGAGTGATTAGCTCATTCATTGGCGCAACATCAGTGGTAAAGATGAAGCCACGAGAAGATCGCGCCTGGTTAATGTAGTGGCCATATCCCTCCATATCGCTCGAGCATACAAAATGCGTCGCGTCAGCAACAAGGTGTCCAAAGGCCGCAGGTTCCACCTGTCCGAGGTGCAGTTTGATATTCGTGCTCTTAGCAATCCTTTCACTGTACGTAGGTGCAAGCCATCTACCAAAAACACCGTCAGACACATACAGCTCCAATGGCGGCAGGTCCGTCCTTGATAACCAGCAATCTAGAACCTGTCTTGTTCCTTTATGCTTACTTTTACCTACAATATGCAGGAATGAGACATTCCAATAATTCTTCTCGGCTCTTGCTTTCACTTCGCTCACAGCTAATTGGCTCTTGAACGTCAGCGCTACGTTCGACGTTGTGTGGCGTGTGTATAGCACCAGCGCCCCTCTCGGATTTCCCTCCTGCTTGAACCACAGCCTCAAATACCTTGTACACAGCAATGTCTTACACAAAATCACGTCCGCTCGCCAAATGTGCTCACTGGCGAGCTCGTACATCTCCACATTGGGCATCAAGTATAAGGGTTTCGCTGCCGGCCAATCCAAAGCATCCGGTACTTTACCCCAATAGTGATTGAAAAAGATCATCGGCGTCTTCGGGCACAAATCATGATACGTGATAGTTCGGTTCTTCGATTTGTCTTGAAACTTGCGATCCATCACCCATTCTGGTAATATCCGTGCTTTCAAAACTAACACAGCCATTTCGAACAATCAATCCAACAAATTAGAGTCGTCTTGGACGAAAGAAATAAAGTCGAAAAGTTAGGACAACGTACACTTGATATATGCTGCGGCGTCTTCACAATATCCAAAGCCTCGCAAACCAGACGGTAAAAAGATGTCCACAGCGGTGCATCGACTCAACTTCTCAAGCAATTGTGGATCACTCTCATTGATCAATAGTAAGAGATCTTGTGTCTCATTCTGCTTCATTCTACCAAACTCGGACGAGATAACGCTATTCTTGTGCTTCCAACAACCGCGATGCAGCGCCGCATGATGCAAAATATCATTCTCTTCAATTTCTTGTCTCCAATCAATTTGAAACAATTCTTCAGGGTACAAATCATTGGCGTCAACAGGCGTCGCCGTATCCGCGTATTCAAGAGCAGCTACCGCTTTCAGTATGCGCTGCGCGTCTGAAATGGTGATACTTGGTACGTCCTCCGTAACAAATGAAATCTCAAACATTAGTGTACTGAGTATCAGAGTCACTAGGATGCCTAATAGCAAAGAAAGAAAGCGGGAACGCTTTGTGAAGCGCGTAGGTAGCAACATTATTCTAGTTGAGTTAGTTTATAGTGCTTAGACAGAGCTAGTTAGGATTAGATACGTGTCATTATACTGTAACAGACTAAGTTAAAACAGAAGAGGTTTTTGACGAATAGGACAAGAAAAGAATGTACTTAAGAAATGATTCTGTGCAAGTACGGTCCTAGGACAGGGTATCAGGCTGATTAGTTTGAATGTCGGACTCTTGCGGTTTTTGACGAATAGGACAGGTACCAGGTTGCATCGTGTGACGTCTTCTTTCGTGTTGTCCACTGCTTCGAAACGCTTTTGATTTCTACATAGCATCAGTTTTGTGTTTTTATTCTGCTTACGGAATTTGGTGATGTAAAAGTTGCTACTTCGATACTACATTAACTCGGCTAGAAGATCGATTACCGCGTTTCTTGTTACAAACAACACAAAACGATTAACAAACTAGTCATGCCGTCATTTGAAAGCTCATATTAGAACTGAATGAAGCATACAGAAAACGAATTTCAGAAAATGGTGATGATGTCCGAAACCCACGCATTATATCAAACGTCTTTGCTTGCGCTGTAACTTGATACACAACGGTCACTACTAACTGTAGTAGGTTCTACATGCATGAGTAATATGCCATATCTATGAGTGTTTATAGTCATAAAGCGGGTTTCTGGGTTTCTACAGTCAGATTTGCTCATACGAGTAGAGCGAGCCAACCGAAAGGGACGAGAGAGGTATTGGAATGCTAGATATACGCTCTTGATTTGACGCCGCTGGTATGTACATCGATTGCGAACCATTTAACCTGTTGCTATCAATCTCGTTCAGAACAAGCGATAGTCACAATTGTTTTGGCGCTCTTCCTGAGACTTACAACTCGACTTTTGCCACAAAGTCAAGCCCTCGATTATACATTTGAACGCAAAGTTGTGCCACGAGACGCCCATAATGTCTTTCAATCACTGTTGGAATGGAGCACACGGTGGCTTAAGGATAAAGACACTACATGATTGCAAAGAGGAGATGTTTACTGGTGCCCAATGTGCAGTTTATGGAGCCTGCGCTACCCTCAGAAAACAAACTTAATGTTATGACCGACGGATGACTAGCGTCGATAATCATAGGCGCATCGGGGAGTTCTCAAAGGAAATTCACGTGCTACGTCGGCTACCAATATTCTGACCATGTGGTCACAAGCGGATAAAGTATCGCACGTCAAGACATGCTACGTTAAGCGCTCTAAACAGGACGATTTTAAAGCATTGCAAGTCGTGTACGCCGTGTACTACTTTTGCGTCGCCGTTTGCTCGAACCATCACTCTCTCGTAACATTTCGTGGGATGTGCATAATATATCATAGGAAACGTATTCGCGTCAGCTCCGTCATCTTGATGTTTGGCATCATGTAAGGCTCGTTAGTCATTTGGCCACCGAAGGCGATTTGGTTACTCCACCTTACTACTGGTCAAGAAACAACATAGACGTTTGAGGGCACAGGTTTGTAATAATCTGCTTTGCATTTGAGATTAGAATCGACCAACTACATCTCCAGAACTTCCGTACAGGAAGGGTAACCGAGATACAATACAAAGCGCTGCAATCGAGCTTCTAGCCGAGTTGATGTAGTGTTTGCACATTCCATCACACTCGAAGTAGCAACTATACAATACCAAATTCCGTAAGCGCTATGTAAAAATCAAAAGCGTTTCGAAGCAGTGGACAACACGAAAGAAGACGTCACACGATGCAACCTGGTACCTGTCCTATTCGTCAAAAACCGCAAGAGTCCGACATTCAAACTAATCAGCCTGATACCCTGTCCTAGGACCGTACTTGCACAGAATCATTTCTTAAGTACATTCTTTTCTTGTCCTATTCGTCAAAAACCTCTTCTGTTTTAACTTAGTCTGTTACAGTATAATGACACGTATCTAATCCTAACTAGCTCTGTCTAAGCACTATAAACTAACTCAACTAGAATAATGTTGCTACCTACGCGCTTCACAAAGCGTTCCCGCTTTCTTTCTTTGCTATTAGGCATCCTAGTGACTCTGATACTCAGTACACTAATGTTTGAGATTTCATTTGTTACGGAGGACGTACCAAGTATCACCATTTCAGACGCGCAGCGCATACTGAAAGCGGTAGCTGCTCTTGAATACGCGGATACGGCGACGCCTGTTGACGCCAATGATTTGTACCCTGAAGAATTGTTTCAAATTGATTGGAGACAAGAAATTGAAGAGAATGATATTTTGCATCATGCGGCGCTGCATCGCGGTTGTTGGAAGCACAAGAATAGCGTTATCTCGTCCGAGTTTGGTAGAATGAAGCAGAATGAGACACAAGATCTCTTACTATTGATCAATGAGAGTGATCCACAATTGCTTGAGAAGTTGAGTCGATGCACCGCTGTGGACATCTTTTTACCGTCTGGTTTGCGAGGCTTTGGATATTGTGAAGACGCCGCAGCATATATCAAGTGTACGTTGTCCTAACTTTTCGACTTTATTTCTTTCGTCCAAGACGACTCTAATTTGTTGGATTGATTGTTCGAAATGGCTGTGTTAGTTTTGAAAGCACGGATATTACCAGAATGGGTGATGGATCGCAAGTTTCAAGACAAATCGAAGAACCGAACTATCACGTATCATGATTTGTGCCCGAAGACGCCGATGATCTTTTTCAATCACTATTGGGGTAAAGTACCGGATGCTTTGGATTGGCCGGCAGCGAAACCCTTATACTTGATGCCCAATGTGGAGATGTACGAGCTCGCCAGTGAGCACATTTGGCGAGCGGACGTGATTTTGTGTAAGACATTGCTGTGTACAAGGTATTTGAGGCTGTGGTTCAAGCAGGAGGGAAATCCGAGAGGGGCGCTGGTGCTATACACACGCCACACAACGTCGAACGTAGCGCTGACGTTCAAGAGCCAATTAGCTGTGAGCGAAGTGAAAGCAAGAGCCGAGAAGAATTATTGGAATGTCTCATTCCTGCATATTGTAGGTAAAAGTAAGCATAAAGGAACAAGACAGGTTCTAGATTGCTGGTTATCAAGGACGGACCTGCCGCCATTGGAGCTGTATGTGTCTGACGGTGTTTTTGGTAGATGGCTTGCACCTACGTACAGTGAAAGGATTGCTAAGAGCACGAATATCAAACTGCACCTCGGACAGGTGGAACCTGCGGCCTTTGGACAGCTCATAGCTGACGCGACGTATTTTATGTGCTCGAGCGATATGGAGGGATATGGCCACTACATTAACCAGGCGCGATCTTCTCGTGGCTTCATCTTTACCACTGATGTTGCGCCAATGAATGAGCTAATCACTCCATCGTCTGGTGCACTGATCAGGGCTAAAGCAGTGCGAAATCCGAAACAATTCTTAGGTGGAGCGTCCAAGAAGGCCCATGCACTCCGTGGGGTTTCTGGTTTTGTTGCCAAGTTTAACGGCGGCGCAGTCTGCGATGCAGTATTGAACACGCTGAACAACACGTCACCGAAAGAGCGTGCCATACGAGCTGATAGGGCTCTGCAGCAGTACTATTTCGACACGGTTTTCTTTGCGCAGAAGATGCAAGAACTACGTGAGTTGCACGTGCGCAAAGCAATGTCCAAATATTGAGGAGGCACAATAAATGAGCATCATGTAGCAGGACGCACATTGGCAACGTACACGTACGTTTGAAAGTAGTAGACCCGCAATTCGACAGCCACGAGTCACCACAGTCCCAATTCTTTTTCGAATACTAGCAACAGCTAAAGACCTTGTTATAGTAAGCGACTTTGTCGGACACTGTAAGCAAAATTGAAGTTTTGCTTATAAGAATGATGCTTCTCAGTTGCTACTTTGAGTGTGATGGAATGTGCAGACACTACATCAACTCGGCTAGAAGCTCGATTGCAGCGCTTTGTATTGTATCTCGGTTACCCTTCCTGTACGGAAGTTTTGGGGATGTAGTTGGTCGATTCTAATCTCAAATGCAAAGCAGATTATTACAAACCTGTGCCCTCAAACGTCTATGTTGTTTCTTGACCAGTAGTAAGGTGGAGTAACCAAATCGCCTTCGGTGGCCAAATGACTAACGAGCCTTACATGATGCCAAACATCAAGATGACGGAGCTGACGCGAATACGTTTCCTATGATATATTATGCACATCCCACGAAATGTTACGAGAGAGTGATGGTTCGAGCAAACGGCGACGCAAAAGTAGTACACGGCGTACACGACTTGCAATGCTTTAAAATCGTCCTGTTTAGAGCGCTTACCGTAGCATGTCTTGACGTGCGATACTTTATCCGCTTGTGGCCACATGGTCAGGATATTGGTAGCCGACGTAGCACGTGAATTTCCTTTGAGAACTCCCCGATGCGCCTATGATTATCGACGCTAGTCATCCGTCGGTCATAACACTAAGTTTGTTTTCTGAGGGTAGCGCAGGCTCCATAAGCTGCACATTGGGCACCAGTAAACATCTCCTCTTTGCAATAATGATGGTCTTTATGTAGCGGAGCTGCTGTAGCCAAACTACTTATGCATTATGTGTAGAGGATGTAGCCGATCTACGGAAGCCAAGCTACTTATGCACTATGTGCAGAGTAAGACAAGCTGAAAGAGCTTCTACGTCTTAGGGTGCTTAACCCTTCCTAGGCTGCCGCACTACATGCCTCTTTCGGCCGAGGGTACGGGAACAACTCCTCGAAGTTCACCGATGCAGGGTTAAGATATGGATTAAATAAGTCTACGTAGAACACAGGATATGTTCTCATCTTTTTCGGTAGGTTCAGCGTATAATCTTAACCTTTCTTGCTTATGACCTTGAAAGGTACAATAAAGCGTGGACGTAATTTGGTTTTGTATACCGCAGACACTGCACGAGTAGGTAAATTGCTAGAGTTTAATAAAACCAAATCTCCACTTTGAATTC